ATATGTCATTTTAAAAATCGCTTAACCTTTTCTTTGGAAAAGCTAATAATAATTGTTTAATGACAGGATTATATTTAATTCACAGAATAATTTAATATGCTGTTTTGAGCGGCGTTATATGTTCAGACTAATAATTTTGATCAATTTTTGAAAATCAAATTGTATTTGTGAAAAGAGTATAGGAGTATCATGATACATAAAACTTTGGATAGAAAAGGTGGATGAAATAATTTCAGTGAAATAATTTTCTCCAAATAGTTTGTTTTACTGCATTTTTATTGAATATATATATATATATATATAATCCAATTTAAATTAAATATATATTGCAATAATTTATTATGATAGAAACTTTTAAATTGCATTTAAATTACAATAAATTGCAATTAATTTTTTATATTGCTTTATATAGTTATTAATATATTGGATATTATTAATTCTCATATATTTTTGTGACTATAAAAATATATCGGAGCGAAACTTTCTGTAACGCGTAAACCACGCTTATAATAATATATTGCAATTTATTTATAAGTCATTGTATACAGGCACTTGTCGTACTTTGTGATTGAAGTTTATTAATTGCGATCAATAGGTTAGACAACAATATTTTAAAGAATTATCTATCAAAGATTATATTTATTAAAACGAGAATAAAAAGAGATTCACTTTTTCTCTTTATACTGTAACAATTGATTTAAAAAAAAAAAATCATGAGTTTAATTGGTACTTTACAGAGGACACGATTAATAAGAACATTTTGATTCAATGGCTCATCCCTTTCTAACGTTAATTAAGTGCCTCCTGGAAAATTGAATGCGACAAAGGAGGCGATGGTTCGCGGATGAGTTCTCGAATGCGCGAAATCTTAAATTAAAAAGAATTACTCCGCGAAGAGATATATGTATCCCGCGACTCTTAAACGAGCGGTTATTCGCCGATAGAGGACTCGAAGTGAATAACTGCCGCAAAAGGAAAAGGAGCAAGAAAAGGAGCGGGAGGCAAGAGAGCTTGTCGATTTAAGAGATCGCGACAAATCCATAGCTGCGAGAGCTGAACAATGATTTACGAGAGAGGCGATGATTATATTCATAATCGATACGTTATTGAGACCACGGTCACAATTACTGTGACACGCACATGGAAGAAGAAAGCAAGAAGAAAGCAGAAATGAATCTCTCTTAAAACAGAAGGATATTAATAAATTGTAAAATCGATTCGCCATTTACGCCGCTTGTTTGCTCGCTATTATTACCAATCTCGTTTCTTCGAGGGGCTTATTCGTTCTTGTAATTTTTATCCGATCATAGAGAGCTTTCTCAGAAAAAAACAATATACGTCTAGCGGTCGACGACCCGAAAAATATCAGAAGATATGCTATTTGCAGATAATACTACGGAATGTTCAACATTTTGACCGATACCTTAGAATTTCAGATAATGAAGTGTAGTGAATGAAAATGTAAACGAGTATAAGCTTTATTAAATTTTACAATTATTTTATGGTTTCCAAAGTATATAAAAACAATAAGAATTCGTTCTACATACAATAAATTAGAAGATCTTGTGTCGAAATATTTTAATATACTAGAGTTGATAAAATCATAATTCTCCACTTTTTTCTTTTTCTTTTTTTCTTAATTTAAGTGGAACATGAAGGAAAAAGATATACATTTATCAATTTTAAAAACATTAAAACATAAAATGAATATTCAATTTTAAATAATTTCCCATTCATTCATAAATATCGATTCATAAATCCATTACTCTACCTTTTTTTAATTTATATTATAGATGAAAATTATTTTATCTACTATTATATAATTATATTTATTTGCTGATGTTGCGTCTCCACATATATTTTATACATATATTGTATAGTATTACGATAATTTATAAAATTCATTTATATTTATTTTAATCCCCATGATTTTGTATTAATAATGTTCTATTTAGGGGATTTATTATATCAAATTAAATTTTGTTTCTGAACATGAGGATTTTCATGTTATTCTATTCCAGGAAGATTATAAACAGTGTTCGCGGTATTCATCTCTATTGCGCGCACGCATATTAAAAATAAGTGATATACCGCAGTGTTTCCTCGCCATTACAAACACCCGGTATAAATGTAAAGGGAGCAAAGGCGCGCGAATAAAGTCGAGGGTTGCGGCGCACGTGGGAGAGAGGGAGAAGGAGAGAGGGAAAGGGCAAACAGTGATGGATGTTGAAATATCCGTGAGAGAGATCACGATGGAAGTGAAAGAATTATGTTTCCTGACTGAAATAAAGCTAATTATGATTATTATTATAATTTTTCATATTTTATTTCGTCGTTGCGGGACGACGTATCTCGAGCCCTCGGGAGAAAGTTTTATAAAGAGACGCAAAAAATTAATTCGACCTCCGAACGAACCACGCAGTTTCCTCCCCTGATTCGTCCCTGGTGGAAGAGGTGGCTATCGCGAGAGGAAGGGTAGGGAATAGTATCGAAACTCGAGGAGCGGGGGGGAAAGAGACGGGGAAAAGACCAGAGGGAGAGAGGGAATCGCGCGGAGAGGGGAGCGAGCGTGCGAGCGAGCGAGACCGAGAGACCGAGCCGTGGCTGCGTATCGATCGGCCAGCAGAAAACTACCCCCTAGCAGGCGACTTCGCAGTGTGCGAGAGACCGATCACGTACGAGAGTAGTCGGTGGGGTGCTCTCTCGCGGTGCTCGTGGGGCCCACGCGGATCCCTCCTGTCCCTCACGCACGTAAGAGGCACGCATCCACTCGCGTCCTCCGTTCGCCACGGTCGACACGGTCCACGTTGTCAACATCGCCGTCGGCTTGCACTTACAGGGCGTGCATTTTGGGGGTGTGCGTTCGATTCGACGTGTCGGAGAGCCGAGCGCTCAGAGGTGAGAGACACGTCCCCCGTATTTGTATCGCAAATTTCATTGTCCGTCGTTATCGCGTTTCGCGGCGTTATCACGGCTGGCGTCGGTCGTTCCTCCCTCGTTTTTTCCCGGCGCGAGAATCGTCGCGTCCCCAATTTCGATATCGTGTGCAGCTTGACACGCACACGCGCGCGCGCGCCCACACACACACACACACACACACACGCACACACACACACACACACACACACACACACGGGTCTTCCGAAGCGACATGTCGTCCCGTTCGCGGACTATGGATAGCACTGAGTATAGCCAGCTTAGCGATGAATAGAGTTTCTAACTGGTGTCATAGTGTTGTATTCCCATAGCTGAATCCATTAACGCGATTGTCTTCATCTATTAGCTCTACATCTGCGATCGGTCGCTTTACATTCTACTTTTATCTGACATAGCTCTATATTATAGTTACCTATGTATGCAGAGCTACGTATATAGCTATCTATATATTTTAGTACCCACTTACTGTAGCACTTCTTATCCTTCTTGACATCGTGCACTATATAATACTTATAACTTATAACTTAACTTAAACTTGTAACTTACGATATTGCAATTCTTTATATTATACTTCCAGCTATCGCGCCTGTATATCACAGTTTTCTACTAATAGTTTTATTTGATTTCATCATACTTCTCTTCATACTTCTCTTCTTAAGATTTCAACTTAAATTTCACCACTTTAACTGAGAGGATTATAATCTGCTATTGTCTTTTGTGACTCTGTTTTACTATTGAGCATCGCACTGCCATATACTCTCTTTCATTCAGTTTTACTACTATTTATTTATTATTAACTGTGTAACTCGGATTCTGAGATGAAATTTAATTTAGAAGCACAAATATTTAATCCTTAGCGACGTAGTCAGCACATTTTGTGGTGGTTAAATTGCTATATCGTAAGAAGGTCGGAGTATTAATCGTGTTGTTGTCCGACTTTCAGTATAATCCTCCATCTTCTCATCCAGTCGCCCACTTTCCGAATCTCCTCTCTACCAGCCTACTTGGGGGATCTTTCGGAATTGTCTGGTTGGATCAATCGAACCGTCCTATTTTGATAAAACTCACGATTATTATCGCCTAAACCTGTTAATAAGAATGTTGCATTCATCGGAACGCTCATTATCAAAGTTTGGCATTGTATCGTCGATGCATTCTAGAAATTCGCCGTATAAGCGATTCTCTTCATTAATAAAGCATCTATTCATTTCGGAGAACTTCACTGTTCGGCACGTTAATGGAAGACTTGATTGACAAGGACTGTCCGGAAAAGATCGCCGACCGATGATTTTTCATGACGAGTGCAAAGTGTGCGTGAAGTGGTCCGCCTTCGGCAAGTTTCGTGAAATTGATTAATTAATCGCGTAAGGTTCCGAGGATTTTTGCTCGTCCGACTCGGGCCAATTTGCGCCTGTAGAGCTTCCCTAAGTCGAGGCGTGTATCTTCTTAAAGTTCATACTAAGAACTTATTTAGAATTTAGTTACGAGAGAATTCTGTTGTTTGTGATATATCATATCGTCATTCGATTGTTATAGATTTTTAAAGACTTTTTTTTGTGATTCTTTTATTACGTTAGATTTCTTAGTTTAATAAAATTTAAAATACAATAATAAATCACAGCGGCATAGCTCTTGTTCTTATTGAAATCTGTTATAGACTCGTCGTTCATAGATATCTTGTTGCTGAAATTTCTCCGTTATATCTCCATCTCGGTATGTAGAATTCACGCAAGAGAGCCGTCAATGAGAAATACGTCACTTGTTGTTAATCCAGTCCCCTCTAATAGATTTATCGTTAGATTTTGCGAATAGAATTTCTGTATTGGATATCTCCATATATATGAATTCATCGACGCGCAATATTGCCTTTATTAAAACGACACAATGACTTGTTATTGTTAAGTCATCCCACAGATCTATCAATTATAAGTTTTTAGAATGCGTATATTTCCCCTATTTTTATTGCGACATTTCTATACGTTAGTTCTCGTAAAAAATCGGTGCACGCAATTGCATTAATAAGTATACGCATAATAATAAGTATACGCATTACTTGTTTCTAATAAAATTTTCGATATAGTTGAGCTCATCGATCGTATTACAAAATAATAAAAAAAAAGTTTTTTAAAAAGTTTTTTACGATTCTTATACAAATAATTTTCAACAGAGTTAAACATGTGGATTTATATACGAAAAAAAAAATTAATCTTAAATCAAGATTGTATAGCAAGAATATTATAATCTTCAATTCATATGGAAGATTAAAAATCTTCCATATGAATTGAAAAAAAAAATTGCAAAAGTGTGTCAAATTCAATCAAGACTAAAACTTAAAAAAAAATTATAATACGTTTATTTACATATGAGAATATTTCTCTTGATTGAAGAATTAATTTTTTTCTATATGTAGCGCATCGGTTTTTATTCGGTCGAGTGATTTGTCGATTCGAGACTTATATTAATTAAGAATAATTAAAATTACGAGCTCGGCGTTTTCGTTCTCCGTCGTGCGCCCGAAGGCATTGGACGTCGTGCGAGAAGGACCTATCGATGCGTGTCCGTTCGCCGTTAATAAGAGCACGCATTACTTACTCTCATTAGAGCTTGTTAAGAGGTCAGGTCGGCGGCACGTTGCGACGTACGGCTTCACGCCGTATGAGATCACCGTGACACACGCGAGAGCCATCGCCGTCATCGTCGTCGTCGTCGTCGCCGTCGTCGCCGTCGTCGTCACCTCCGCCCTCCTCGGCACCTGCACGACCGAGCCGCATGCGAGACAGCGACCGGGTGGTTACATCAGCGTCATGATGCTGGAAAACACGACGTACGATCGATAACATTGAAAATCATCCCGTTCGCTTTGGCGAACGGCCAGCGACTCGTCCCGCCAGTGATCATAAATTCGAAACTTTCGTCCTATTTTCCCAACCCTCGTTCTTCCCCCTTTCTCTTCACGCGAGTATTCCTCATCCCCGTCGAATTCGCACAGAGCCTGTCTGACAGAGCTATGCTTCCGTTTGTGTTACAGTTCGAGAAAATTTGCGTGTGATCCAGGAAGCAACGACGCGACAGCACCATGGCGTTCGCCGGTCTCAAGAAACAGATCAACAAGGCGAATCAGGTAAGCGTGCGTCATGTTCTTTTTCTCGATAATTCGACAACTTGGCAAAGAATCTTCTCGTTATAACAGAATCAATAATATCTTTCATGAATAAAAGCTGAGCTTTTCGAAGAAAGGATAAAGTGTGCTGAACTTTTCATACATTCACATATTTTTGATTTTATGACGTTGACTAATAATATAAATTAACGCTGAAAGAATTATCATTTGAAAGATCGCCTCGCATTATTATTTTTATTAAAGAGCTTATGAATTTTTTTATTTATTTATCCCTCTTATTATTTATATCGTCTCGGTTCGCGTAATTGAAATTCGATTCTTCCTTTTATCTAATCGGTTCGATCCAACTATTTCTCATTTAACTAAATGACAAGGCGCTTTATGCATTTATTACGCCATCGATTTAGTGCTTGAGAGTGTTAAAGGGAACATCGCGATGGCGATTTCGCCGATACGCTGTACGTTCTCGTCGTTGAAAGTTTAATCGTCTGTATTAACGTCGGCACTCATATATCAGGCTACATTACGCCAATTACCGGCAATGCATTGCCACTTAGATCGCAAACTTTCGATCCTCCAGCGCCGTTCATTCCCCGCGCGGAATGTGCGGTGTCTTAATGCGATTACGCGTTGTCGGCAGACTCGTAATGTTCGTGTAACACAGCAGGATTTCTCACCGCAATGTTTCTCGCAACAGCTAATGATAACAAGTCGACGAGAGAACAAGCGAAAGAGCTCCGATGCTTTTAGAGACTCGAGAGAGGCAAAAATCGCGAGCTAATTGTTATCATTATGTGAAATATTACTACATGCATTGTCCTTGCACCGGTGAAATTGATATGCTCGGCATTCTCTCCCGAGAAAGAATCTCGATATACACCAGGAATTCTATTATTGAAGAATCGCGGGATCTGAAGATCTCGGAATCTGACGACGGAAATCTAAGAGCCTGGAATAATAAAACTCACGAGAATCTCATAAATACTACAATACCTATCTTATATCGGGAGAAGATTTTATCGTTTTCGTATCAATCAAATTTTAATAAATGATAACACGCTGTCTATTCTGCAAATGCGAAATATAATTTATATTTTGAAAAATTCTTTACGGACTCATTTAGTTGAATATTGTCGAGAGAATTAAATTCGACAACTGGTTGATGCGAGTTATCATTTGGTCCAGCATGTTAAATGCGGAGAATTTCGTATCAACTACGGCCGTGGCATTATCAGTCTGTCATGTTTAATCATAAAATGACGAGCGCAGAGAAACACGGTTGTTCTCAATGTTCTCAAAGTTTAGCCGTAGCGAGACCATAACTAATTGGCGGTTAATTGTTAATTGAAAGAAACCTGCTTAACGAATCAGTAATGATTCTTTACGAAACGGGGTCGTGATAGATACGAATGATTTTAAAAATCCCGAAAGATACAAAGAAGACTTACATTGAAATAGAAACGATATTCGCAAAGTTTAGTTATATTAATTTAAAGATATAACACGATGAGATAAGTTACATATTTATTATATTAGGAATAGAGTTTTTATTTTTATCAACAAGATATAAAAAGGTCAATAAAGGTCAATAAAAAATAAAAGGTATTGATATCAAATATATATTTTTCAAATGAATAAGAAGTAAAACTAATTGTTGTAGAAATGTTGAGCTTGAAATCCCGAGTAGCTTAAATCTGAATTTAAGCTACTCGGGATTTCAAGCTATTTTGAATAATAATCCCATTTTGAATAAGCTCGTATTTCGAATAAGCTCGTAATTATGTAACGCGTTTATTGCGTACCCGCATGATCTTTGTCAGTATTCTTCTGTTGATTTTGCAAATATTTGCCTCTATTTACGAAAATCTATGCGACACGATGAAAATGATGGGAATCTCGTTGAACATGCGTCATGCGTATCTTGCGCTCTAAATACCGTGGAAAACTTGATTATGAAATTCTTAACATCGATGACGTGGGCCCTGTTTCGCGTTAAACGAGACGCGGTGCATGCGCGAATTTCGTGTCGATGCGAAATTCTGCCTATATGTGGCATTTCTGCCGAGTGTACGGCCAGCGCGCAATAATGAAAATTGCTGCAATTATTCCCATGCGCTGCTTGCAGTTGCAGTTACAGGTATATAAAACAAAGCACTCGCATTCGCGCTAATACAAACGTGTCACAGTTCATTCCGAAGGGAAATTGGATAAAAACTATTGATGACCGGTTAATGTAATTATCTTTGTAATTATCAGTATCATGATTTAAGAAGTATAACTCATGGAGAGAACTGTTATATATGAATTTTTATTACTATACATGAAAAAATATTATTTTATGATTCATTACATTTTATATCTTTTTTTTAATCTTGTTATCTTTATATCATTAATTTACTTGTATATTTTTTTCTGTTACGAGTTCTCGTTTCGTTAAATATATATATATATATATATATATATATATATATTCTTTGCGTTATAAAAATTTATGATACAGAAGACATCGCCATGCGTCTTGATTTTCGCCGAGACAGTGTAGGAGCGTAAGTAAGCTTCAAGTTTTAATACGATTCCCTCGGGGAGTCCCCGGAGTCACGTTGGCGGGGTGTTATCCTGGCCTTAATTACCGCACTGCAGCTCGTTGCAAAATGCCAAATGAAAACTCGACATGTCGAGACGGTGGAAGTAGAGGTGATGAAGAGTCCGGTCGAGCGAGATGCGCGCGAGCGGCGTGCGAAACAATGCAAATTATTGCGCGCGGGTGCTCGCGGCGATGTTGTGTAACGAGCAATTTTAAACTATCGACCGTGGCCGGGCAACTTCTCGGGGATCGCACGGCCGCGCATTGCACGGCCACCGAAATCCTCGGTGATGCGCGATGATAGCGGCCGCAGCTTCTGACCTTTGCGTCCCTAATTGTGCACCGCATCTTTGAATCTTCGATAATAAACGAGGAGGAGCATCGATCGGCGTGCCGGCGTGCGAGACATTTGCATCCGGAGTGCTTTTTTGCAACAAGCATTTTTGTGAAAAATTTTATTATATATTTACTTTGTGACGAGTTCGACAGTGAAGAGTTTCCTCGGCGGGAAAAATTTACGCGCAATTAATTAATGATTTTTCATCATTTTGTCTTTGATCACTAGTAGATTCTTTTCTGGTTATATGTACGAACGTGCGCATATAACCAGTGTTAATATAAGTAATTTTTTAAAAGAGCTTGTCACGTCAAAGTTTCGTGTCAGAGTAATCAAAATATTGATTAACATTAATTTTATTTCGGTACACATGGCGAATTTTGATAATTAAATAAATAGAAAGTTCGAATAAACGCTATTTATTTAATTAAACCGAGCCATGCGAGGCTCGAGAACGGAAAAGAAAGGAAGCTCTATGCAAAGGAAGCTCTATTTTATTCGTCATTTTATATGTAAATATTTATAATCTAATATAATCACACCGTGGCATTTGCGAACACACCGATAGGCTTATCCTGATTTATTAAGCGCTCTGAATTTCCAGCTATGCATAAATTTATCTTCATACATAATGCGATAGTTTGGTGCATTGTGCGTGCATAAATAACGCGTAGATTGACCATATTGCGCCACGACGAAAATTACACATCTATCTCGTCGCGCGGAAAACCCGGAATCGAACACGCGCACGCGTACACGTACACACACACAACACACACACACACACACACACACACACACACACACACACACACACACACATGCACGCACGCACGCACGCACGCGTATATAGCCACTTCGCTTTTCTAGTGCCCTAATTGCATTTGTCCACGATATACGTGTTACGGCCAATGCGGCTGATGCGGTGAACGCGGGGCTCTAAGTGCATCGTCGCCGTTGTGATGTCGCGTGTTATGTCGCCGCCAGATCGAACCATGCAATATCGCGGATGTCCTGCTCGTCGTTATCGGTGCTCGGGACGAGCGGCGAACGGATATTTTTACGACGCCGATGCCTTTCCCGAAACGTCTCTGATGGTGTTACAGGTCGATCGACGGCTTGCGAGCTTTCGCGAATACGTGCCTCGCTTTTCCACGTCCTTGCGTTTGCCCGAAATTGAATTCGTTCCCGTGCGCGCACGGAATATTTAAAGGTGCATTGTTCTTGATAACAATAATGCTTACACGTGTTTGATGCCGATCGAATGATTATATTAATTTAAAAAAGAAAAGGCTGGAATACAACTACACCTGGAAGTAAGATGTAGATTAAAAGAATGTCTTCTTAATGTTTGTTTTTTTTGTTATATTTGTTGTTAAAAACTACAAATATATTGTGGTCTAGGTAGGAGATATTTTAGCTCAAAAAAATACATATTGTAAAATGATGAATGTAATAGAAAGAAAATATGAGTTATTTAATGTAACAAATTTAGTGTAACAATTTAATGTAACAATTTAATGTAACAATTTTGAATGATTTTATGTGAATAATATATTTTAACAGATTTAGTTAATATTTAACATTTGACATTTAACAGAAGAGTAATTAATAATATTCTACTTAGGTAAATATCGAAATATCCTGTCGTCTTTTTTGAAAGGTCACATTTCTTTTTATGACTCATATTCTTTATATCAAGGATACAGTTTGTGGATATAAAATTCTAATCTCGAGCCGATATCGTGTGAACGAACACACTGCGAAATTCGAATTCTTTATATTGATCAATCTGGGATGTTGCATTAATTTGAGTGCAAAGTTTGTTCCGTTCGGACACGAACGTACTCGTTAAGTGGAGTAATTAATCCTTATTTATATCGGCATCCTTATCCGAATCCATGACATGGACTTACTTATAGACTTACTTATAGACTCTTACTTTAAAGGCTCTTTAAAGCTGAAAGAACGACGCGAATGTGTGTCAACAGTTTTACGATATCTGACTGCATCAATGACGTAAAAATTTAAGGCTTGTTCAAGTCGATTGAGTTTTGAGTTCCGCTTGCAAGAGTTATGAATCGGTTATAAATACCGCCGTTTCGGAACTTCAATCTCGCCTGATATCTATGACGCCTTTCCAATTATATTTTTACATCATGATATTGTGAAAGTAATCAGGAAAACGGTTTTAAATGGGACCGATCTCAATAAAAAGTGTGAAGAGTAATTTACAATTAATAGATCCTAGAGTTTTGTTCCTTTTATTTTATTTCTCTTCTTTTCCAGAATGCATTACTTACATGAACCATATGCTTTCATTCATTATTCATATTCATTTCACGATGTTAATGCAATTATAGTTTATTATTATTGTAATTTTAATAGACACATAATTTTATATTATAATGTAATTTATAAGTATGTAATTTATAAGTAACAAAAGAATTTTATTTTAATAAATAGCAGAATGTTTTATCGCTATGATGTCTATTGTGCTATGAATTTTATCTTATAAATAGATGTAATATTTTCAGTTGAAGTACATAAATTCAGTGAAACGTTTATTTTGATTATTTTTCCGGTCACAAAAAATTTTTAAATTCTATTCTTGCATTTATACAGCGAGATGATTTATCCCAGTTTATGGAGACACAATATTTCATAAGCGCGATTTAAATTCCATCGGAAACGGAATGCTGATCGACGTAAAACGTGTGACATTGCGAGCAACGCGATGTGGGTCAAATTTACTCCGGGATAGCGTTTACTACGTACGAACGACAGCTACATCCCTCTGAAAGTAGGTCGTCGTTAAATATGGGTCAGGGTCTTTCTCTCTCTATCTCTCCCCCCCTCTCTTTCTATCTCTTCGTTTTTTGCGAGTAATCCCACTCGCAAAGCTCTCCGTTTAGTACTATTAATCATGCTATTACCTTCGCGTTTGCTACTCTCTTTCTCTTTGCATACGATAAATCGAGTAGGAAAAAATGAACTGTATGGTATTATATATACATATCAGAATTATATTAGTTCATAATGGAGAAGGTCAATTTTTTAAATAGAACGACACGCACCGCGAATTGATCGGATATCACAATTGTCGAGAATTTCCTTTGAATTTCTTTTGGCCGCTCTCCACTTTGGAGTTAACATTTGAATTCGCGAGATTGAGTTAAATGCTTAGAAAGTCTGTAAGATAACTTAGAACAGGCAGAAAAATACCAATGTGTTAACTTTGACCTAACTCTCTTTCATTGTTTGTGTTATTGTAAATTTTAAAGTAGAAAAGACATCAAAAAGAAAGAAGAAGAAAGAGATTGTTAATTAATTTCGACATTGTCGTTGGAATATAACTTTAAATTTTACAACTATTTTATTTAAAAAAATTTTTATATATTACGTATAATTAATTATGTGTTGTCACAATTTTTTGTGGATAATACAGAATTAAACTTTTTGAAAGAATATATATTCTATTTTGTGCAGATAATTGGGAAATTTAATGACGATATTAAAATTAACTTATATAAAATGTAGAGGGGATTTCATAAAAGTTTTTTTGTTTTAAATTCTATAATACATCCAACTTTGATATACGTCAATATTTAATCTAATAAAATATAACTGATGAAGCGCATCGAAGTTCTGGAGTGATCTCGAAGCAAATACCTAAAATTCATTTAGCAGATATTGCACGGATAAACTTTCACATGCCAAACTATCTGACCTATTTTCCCTTGGCAGAATGCGTGTCCTTTTTCGCATTGGCGGAAAGACAACGGGCGATATTTTATAGATCCTGGCAGATCGACAAGCTGTATTATTGATATCCAGAAAAGATTTAGTATTCTAGACATTTTCTCTAACATTAACATCTCCTTTTGTATACATCTCTCACGATGCTAGTCAAAATCTCAGTCCTCGTCTTTGCCTTGAAAAATACTCTATTGTCCGAGAAAATTTCTTGCCTCTTCTTCAGGATGATCTCGATTTATGAGCGATTAGCCGACTTTATTCAATCGATGTGCTCCGCGTTATAATAATATTATACTCGCATTCTTAGTGCGGTTTATGTAGTCTAGAAAGAAAAAAAACTTTTTTGAAAAAACGATCTCATTCGTAGGGTTAGCGATCATATAAGTGTGAAATGTTTGGAGAAAATCTTAAGAAAGATTGACGAAGGTTTCTAAACGAAACACATATCTTTTATCCCTCTTAAATTTTAAGTATTTTTACGATTTGTTATTTTTTATTTTATAATTTTTGTATTTTTTATTCTTTAGAGAATCTTTGAATTTTTGGAGTTTTGAATTGTCTAAAATTTCTGCCTTCTAATATAATGAAATTTTTAAGTTGAACACAAGCCAATAAGTACTTACAATTACATATTATTGTTATATATATATTTATCTCAATAACAAAATATATATATATATTTTTTTTTGTTTATTGAGATAAAAGATTAAATATCGATGACTTTTGCGATATACCATTAAATGCTTCGTCATTATTATTTATTATTTAGAATTATAAGTAAAAATATCTCGAAGAATTTTGAAAGATTAAATCGATCTAAATTCTAGTGCATTATTTTTTCCGCATGATCTTATCTCAGGTTGGATTAGGAGATTTGTAAAATCAGTGAAATGCTTTATTTATTCAACGACTGTAGATCTTAGTCTAAAGATAACCAATCTTGCAGTACATGACGGAGAAGATGGGTGGAGCGGAGGGAACGAAGCTTGACGTTGATTTCGTGGATATGGAGAGGGTGAGTAGTGTATTTTCGTACTTGAGTGTGTGAGGGAGACGCGCCTTTTACACCATATTTTCGCATATATTCCTTTGTAAGGATGCGTCAAGGGAGGAGATGGAGATGACTAGCACCTCCTATTTAACGGCATTATTACCGAATTTCAGAGATTTTATTCAGCTTTTTTTGGCACTGCTGTGGACTTATCAATCTTTCAAAACGCTTTCTTGACACTCTTACAATGTGAAGCCAGAAGTTGTGAGATGAACTGTGTTATAAAACGAAGTTCTAGGAAAACTTTTTGCCGTTGCCTTTTTTCTGAATACCTCGCTTTAACTTTGATACAACATGGATAATGCGATATAATTTTTATCAAGAACCATGAATTCTTCCTTTGCAATCTCTTTCAGTTGCGATTGTCTAATTACGAATTTCTGTGTACATTCTTATATTATATTAAAACTATTCTTTTAGAATCGATAGCGATTTTAATTCTGAGAAATAGACTTTGTAAATATTATATTTATTCCAATAAGACATTTTGAAGTATATGTAAAAATTGTCAGAAATGAAGTAGATTTTTTTTTTAAACGAAGACTATTAAATAAGAATAATTATGATGAAAAATAGAGAATAATAAAGAATAATTCTGAAGGAAGGAGATCATATTTCTAAAACTTTTATTAAATATAAAACCTTATTAAATCTTGTATTATTTTGAGAAAAACACTACTCTCTCAAATGAATCTTTCGTTTTATACTCACTTGGCTCGATAATCCATATTGTATGCATATCATGGATATAATTTTAAAACTTCATAAAAAATTTATTGGCACTATCGTCAAAGTGAATTGACAAGGGACAGAGCGTTCATATAAAAATGTCATGTATAGAAAACAGACGTTACTTGCGAGCTCGTGGAGGAGCTACAGATGAAGACGAAAGAATTTCTTCAACCAAACCCGACTGCAAGGGCGAAGATGGCTGCGGTCAAGGGTATCAGCAAGCTCAGCGGTCAAGCAAAGGCGTCCACTTACCCTCAGCCGGAAGGTGTACTTGGCGATTGCATGCTCACTTATGGCAAGAAAATGGGCGAAGACAGCATTTTTGGTACATGCAATTTAAACCTGATGACTTTTCAACGAGAAGAAATTCGATCCACAGTTCTTTTTCTAAAATATCATCCTAAATCATCGTTCTTTGGAACTATTTTTGTGACGATTACCGCTATTATTTTTATTTTTATTTTTAAAAATAATATTTCGTTTCGTATTGTTTGAAAATGCGTGTATATGTAATGTTCTTCGTCGCATATTATCCCTCTTGTACGCGGTAGCTTCTCGGCAAAAGGCAAGTATCGTTATTTTAAACGGCGTTAATTATTCGAGACAGTGAGAAAGTTATATAAGTCAGACGTTCCCAGACGTGCATCAAAGTTTATTTGACATTTCTAATCTTATGATTAAAAAAAGCGAGACCGTAAAGTCGAGGATCGATAGGGCACATTGTCCGAGCGTCATCTTATTCTCACTTTTATCAATCCTTGCAGCCCAGGCTCTCATTGAAATGGGCGAAGCCATGAAGCAGATGGCCGATGTCAAGTATTCGCTGGACGACAACATCAAGCAGAACTTCCTCGAGCCATTGCACCATCTGCAGACTAAGGATCTCAAAGAAGTGATGGTACGGTTATTGGAAAAGTTGTGTTGTAGCTCGCGCTAGGCGGGCTAGGCGCCGCCTCTCCTTCGCACTCCGTACGATTCGCGATCTCCTCCGTTTTCTTGATTTCAGCACCATCGGAAGAAACTGCAAGGCCGTAGGCTGGACTTTGATTGCAAGCGAAGACGTCAGGCGAAAGGTACGTTGAGGTTTCCCGCATGTTGCTTTCGCTTCTCGTCCTCTCGCGTTCCGCGCTCCTATTGATTTATTCAGGCGCGGTGTGTCCTTGCACGAACAAATCGTCGCTCGTCGCTCGTCGACGCCCGCAATTCGAGGAGTTGAAATAAAAATCAACCCGCGTCAGAGAACTGTAACGCGAGTAAATGAAGCTGGCAGCACGAGATTGCACGTCCGACGGGGGGAGGGGGAGAGGAGACCCGCGACCGCACGCTCGTGATTTTCGAGATGGCGGTGTCATAAAAGGAAACGCGGAAGACGATATTATTGGATATGGCTCTAATGGGGAAAGGTTACAACTGCGAAATCTTGCTCTTGGTCGAAGAGATAAAACTGTCGTGACCGAAGCGGAGATTATACTTCCAATGGAAAGAGATCCGCAAAACCGTCATTTTCGAAAGAGAACGAGCGATGGATAAAGCGCTGAGAATGATATATCATTTTCAATAAAAAAAGAACTTACAAACCGCACAAATATCCTTTTTGAGCCATGACACTTTTAATTTAATTTAATTAATTTTATTCTTTTTGATATTTATATTTATTTTTTAGGAACTATGTATTTAGAAAAATAAAAGTTTATTAAATTTCCGAAGTTTTCTTCATGTTTGTGAATTATATTGTATATCTTGCTATACGATTTACTATGACGTAATTTTGATTTTGGTTGATACCTTCTTATTTTTACTATGTTCAATTTCAGTATTATTTATTATTACGTCGACAAGTTGATCCGCTTCAACGGTTATATCGCTTTCAGACTTATGAGATTTTCAGATAATTTCTATTTCGCTTTTTTACTTATACTTTTTCAGCGATTCGTCGGTGGATTTTTAAGCTCTTTACAAAGCATCTTTATTTCCCATTGTTGGCATGCGTGTGAGAAAATAGAATTACGTTTCATACATGATTCGCTCCTTCAGTATAGGGTTATTATGATAAAATCGTTGCATGAGTAGATGCAAATGGTGCAACTTTTTTGCAATAGAAAGAAGATCTCTTACTCGCATGCTGCGTTGCATGAGCACGATTAAATAGAATCACAAATCAGTATCGTATTGTTGATTTGAAAGCAGAGCGAGAAGAATATTTTTCTTTAATGCATTTGCGTATTTTATACGAAAAGATTTTTTCACGCGATTACTGCATTTGGACTATTGTTAAAATTATAAAAAAATTTGCATAGTTTGTTTTAACGAAAAGAATTTATCCATAATCTATTTACATAAATATTAAGAGTGATAATACAAGTCGATAAATTATGCTAATTTGTCGATATATTAATTTATACTACATAACACATATATCATATTTTATATAAAACTAACACAAAAACTTTTAAATTGAAATCGTCTTTTACACTTTTTTGAAGGATTTGTAGTATATTGATAAATTATTTTGAATTTTTAGTTTGATTAAAATAATATTCAATAATTGAACTCTTAATACGTTAATATTTTAATAGGTGAATAGCGATCGACGTAACATAAAAAAATAAATATTGACATTTTTTATCTCTGGCTGGGATCGTACGTCTATCAATTTTTATACATTTTGCCTTTATGTTTTTTGAATTATTAATTCGAACCATTAATATAATCCACACGTTCGTGATTTTTTTGCATTATTATTATTTGCACCAAATAAATTTGCGCTTTTCGCCGATATTGGATGTGCTTCACCTGTTTTTTATTTATTATTAATTATTAGTGACTGGGAAGAGATCTGCCAGTCCACATTTTGGAAGTCCAGCGCGATCAGGCACCTCGTCACCGTATCCTGGTATGGTGACTTCTATTAGAAGTTTGTACCCCGTACATGGGAAAACTTTACATAGTATCGATCGTTTTCAATAATCGCTCGTAAATTTTCCGTAAAATTCCCAACCAGGATAAAAGTTTTGGAAAACGCTTGAACGTCACGTAAAATCGAAGTTTAAGATATTTCTTAGACTTTTTCGAAAGTTGTCTATAAAAATATCTTCCTTTTATATTTTTAAAAGACACACACCGCCTAATTAGATATTCCTGAACAGTTTGAGACCTGAACTGTTGTGCTATCCGATGAATCCTGATGCATCATTGCTAGATTTAGAAGTGATAATTTTATTTATCGAAATAGCGATATTTAAACATGCTTTTTTATAGTGCGAGAAATACATTTACGTGCTCATAGATTTAATTATGCTTTTATTTATTGGACCCACCGTATTATAAGTGTTAGATTTTAGTGTTTAGATTTTTAGGAAATGAAGCAACCCAGTAGTGCAACCTTTTTAATGCCGTTGGCGGGGCAACTGTTTGCGAACAGGTTCTCACGTTTCAGACGAGGAGATTCGTCAGGCCGAGGAGAAGTTTGCCGAGAGCCTTCATCTGGCGCAGATGGGCATGTTTAATCTGCTGGAGAACGACGTGAGTCGTCGTTACTAATCCTAAACATTGCGCAATGCACGTGGACCAAGATTCTTACGTTGTTTCTTTGCAGATTGAACAAGTGGCACAATTGGCAACCTTCAGCGAGGCTCTTCTGGAATATCATCAGCAGTGCACCGAGATCCTCAAGGGGTTGACGGAAACGCTTTTGGAAAAGTACGTCTGATCGTACGCAAATTAATTAAAATTAGAGATCACGTTAAACGTATTAAATATCAATTTTCATAAAAATATAAAAATATAAAATTTAATATAATATTTAATTATTTTATTATTATTATTTAAATCATACCATTATTATTATTTAAATCATAATTTTCTTCATAAAACGATTTATTATATTCGTATATCTCTTCCCGTAGCTAAGTAAATAAGTCTTTTATGTAAGAGACTATTGAGATATATATGTTCTTGCGTCTACGTAGTGAACATGGCAATCATTTTCTCGGATAATGTTGTCTACGGACGGATATCTTATTTCTTAGGAAAGAAGAGGCGATAAATCGACCAAAGATGGAATTCGTGCCGAAGACATTGGCGGATCTGCATGTGGATAGTGGATTACCGATGTCAGACCATATGAACGGTGGGAACTTCTCCCTTCACGGTAAAACGCATTTCACAAATACTCCACTACACCACGCGACGACACTCGGGTGGTCTGGCTGTTTAACTGTTTCTTGTTCTTTATTCTCTCTCTGTCATGCCGGCGTTTACATTATCCCTACGTGGTATACCAACATTAACCAATATATTGCATTCTCCTGTCTCTCATTCTGTATGGAGCGCCCTCGGCGAAATACTCGGCGGGATGGGTCTAATTAAACCGTGTCTTGTTTTCTTTTCTCGCACGTACAAATTTTATTATGCACCTGTCAAAGCTAAACGATCATCTAATTTTGTTCTCTGAAATATCTCTCTTTTCTGTCTTTATAAGTGAAATATAATTTTTTCTTTATTATCTTTCTGAATATCCAAATTTTATTCGATATTTTAATTGGACATTTGACGCAAACTATAAATTATAAACTAGAGAAAATATTTCCTATATTTATTGACATGTTTCGTCAAAATGACGATGCAACAAAAGAAAATACAAATCTATTTCTAGGATTGGAATAAATCAGAGTTTACTCGAAGAGTTAATGGAATATCGATTGATTAATTCTCGCAAGATGAATCCACCGCGGGTTGAGTCACCGAACGGACACGTTTATTGTGTTTTCAATTAAATCATCGGACGTTAATCCCTCGAGGATCGATTTCCGCGTTTACGCGCCAAATACACGCACACACGTATACAAGTGCTCTCACTACACTGTCACATCATCATTTTACTCTTCCTTTGTGCTGTGTGTATAATGTGGCATACCTGTCTGTCCTTCTGACACAATGTAGGGGCAAGTCGGGCCGGCTCTCCGACTCATGCGGACGGGAAGCGCTCGCAGCTCGAGCTATTTCCGGCCGGAAACCCGCCACAATCTACCAATGGTAAACTTTGCATGGGGGTTTCCTCGTCTCTCTCTGTCCGGCGAACAAACGAATTCCTTTTCGAGTCGCTCAAGGACCAGTTGCACTAACTATTGCATTATTAAGGGCGATCGATGTCTGACCTGTGATTAACTAAAATTTCACGTTATGATTAGGAATAATGATCCAGATAAATGATACCTAGTCGGGATTTAATAATCGAGATTGTTAGTGCGACCGATCCTGTGCAATTCTCTTTCATTTTCTTTTTTTTTTGACGATATTCCACCGCTTTCTCGCATAACAATGCTGATGACCAATCACTATGCACGTTTGTTAGATAGTGTTCTATTATCTTGTGCCATAGAAGAGAACTGTGTTAAATAGGTTTTAAGTAATTAAATACAAAATCCAAGTTAAGCAAGAAGGAACATAGCGATTTTTATAAATCTTTTTAAATGAAAGATATGATACGATTGAATTCAATATTAAAAAGAAATAATAATTTTGCGGGATAATATGAAAACGCAACTCTTTTTATACTTTAACTAAATTTTTTTAAAGATATTTTAGATAAATGTTTCCTTCTTGTTACGAAGATTTCAATTAGCAGCTTTCACCGATGATTAAGTATTGATTTCAATCGAGGATTTTACTTTTATCCTCAAGCATTCTGGGATGATATATTATTTTACTTTCGCATTTAGAAAGAAATTAACGTTACACACTGCTGCTTTATTGACACGGTTTTTTCGCGCGAGATGGCTCACGACTACCAGGGCAGATTGTTAAATGTGTAGTTTGAATGTACGCGATGCAACGTGCGTTTTCGATTAACGCGGCTTCTAGTAATTTAGCACACTCGTTTCGACTATTTTCAGCTTCACCCTTGCCCTCGCCGAGCAAATCGCCAGCGAGAACGCCGATGACACAGAGAACACCATGCTGCACAGCCCTCTACGATTTTGAGCCTGAAAATCCCGGTGAACTTGGATTTAAGGTAAACTCACGATATTGCTCGCTAAAAATTTGAGCGATATCATAATTTAAAAAGTGTCTAAAGAAAGACGTATTCCGAGTCTTTCAGTTATATGGAATCTTTATCACTTTAGTCTAAATGGTTCTCTTAAACTTCTCTTTTGGATTTAGAGATGCAGGCAGATGATCGATGACGTTTAATGATTTCGTCATCTTTCCAGGAAAACGACACGATCACCTTGACCCAGAAGATCGATGAGAATTGGTTCGAGGGCAGTTTGGACGGCCGCACCGGTTACTTCCCCGTGACTTACGTGCAGGTCGTAGTGCCATTACCCTAAAAGGACGTCGCGCATCTCGAAGCCAAAGACCCTGCGTACTCGTTCACTAGCGTCTACCATTACAGGATTATTCTGCTCTCCAGCTAGCCTAAAACCTAGACGAACCTTCGACGACCTATCTACCTATTTATTGTCACTTACGTTGCGGTTTCAAGCTTACGTCCAAGACACGATTCAGAGTTTCTCTAGCCTTTCTCTCCGCCATCTATACAGATACCCCTTCTCCACAGACCCGAGAATAGCCCTCTGTTACGCATGTTAATGTACATATATGATGTTATAGTGTATTTTATCGACGTAAGGACCTTCGCGCGCGCAGAGATATACAGACATACACGCAAACGCATACCCAAGGAAGAACATGCATAGATACATATATTAGACGTATTATACACACACACACACACACACACACACACACACGATAACAAAACATGACAACTACCTATAGTTAATACATACACATATATACAGACGCATATACAGACACACATCAAAGTACCTACGATATAGCAGTTCACTGTCAAGGGCGGCTCTCTCCCCATCTACTTTTCTACATTATCTTCCGTCTCTGCGAGATACTTTCGGGATATTTTCAACACAGTTCGAGTGCACAAAAGAAGAAAATCGAGCTTAGCGAGAATCGATTATGGCGGAGCGCGAATTTTCCGATAGTACCCTCTGGCATTTAGTTTCATCGCACGAAGATGTCCTATCGTTCCAATAACGAGCCGAAAACTCGGCGTTCGTTTCTGTTGCAAGTTATATTTCGCTCGGTTATTATTATGTATCGCTTATGGATTTTGGACGAGATGAGATTATTCCAGCAGGTTGAAATCGTCGTCGAGGTAAGTGAAGGCTTTTGAGTTTCAGTTTTATTGTCAAAATTAATATTACTCCTGGTTAAATCCTAGTTAAAGTAACGTTAATTCTTCTCTTTTTAATATTTATATTATTAATAATAATATTAGAGAAAATATAAGAAGAAAATAATTAGAATTGCTTATCAGCATTAGACACTTTAATAAAATAATGTCAATTTAATCTAGAAAAGAAGTCATAAAGCTTTCAATATAAAAGATCTTTTTAAATGATTTTAAAGTTTTTTATTGTTGTATTTTTTAACTGTTACAAATTGTTGAGCAAATTTTATGGCTGGGGCAGTCTCAAACCGTTCTACACTTTTCTCTCGCGTAATGTAAAAGATTCTTGGACACTAAGTAAGTTTCTTCATTAATTCAATTCCGTTTTTATCATTTGTACGATTAAACGCACGGCTTGCGGGAGTTTGATCATTCAACCGCGATACATATTTTGGTCCACACGGCGCGGCAAAACTCGTTACTCGTGTAATGTACTCGTATAATAATAATAATATTATCGCAATTCCTATTTCCATTCCTCAGTCGATTGACCGTTTTTTCGACTGCTCATGATTTTTTCTACATTTCCTTTGTCCTTTCTTTTCTTTTTTCCTTTATCCTTTCTTTTCTTATTTTAATTGCTAGGCGACACTAGCTAGAAACTAGGATTTAATTTAAGCGAACCTCGAAATGGCGGCAAATCTCTTCCACGAAGTCATTATCGATTTATCTGTGATTATTATAGATAATTCCTGGCATTGATTATTTTGGCAATGACGATCCATTGTCGAAAAACTTTCGGGTCAGTGCTGATGATAGAATGAAACTTAATAGAAAATTGATGTATTGAAAATGTCGCTCGATCAATTATTCTTTGTATATAAATTTTTATCTTATATTTATTAAATTATTTTAATTAGAGAAAAGATATTTGATAATTAACATTTGATTATGTTGGAAGAAATAAAAAATTATTTCACTATCTTTAGAAACATCAACATCTCAAAACCATAGGAAATTGTAAGAAATAATATAATTTTTAATGAGTATTTATCAGTTTTACCACATTTTCAGCATACCTGAAATTTTTCGATATCTCTTATGTTATCTTTTATATAATTCGCCTTGTCTAACTTCGTTCGCAATATTACGATCATTTTAAAGAAATTTTTCTCCAGAATGTAAATATATCGTTTGTATTTTTTTGTATATGTTGGAAAGTTGGCCAGACGCGTATAGTATTAATTAATTATTAACTTTTGATGTAATAGCGCAAGAGTTAAACGAGAGTGAGGAGTTACAGACTTCCTGTTTAAGAGTGTTTATATGTTAAGTATATTTTATGCAAATGCCCGGCAACGATTATACTTTCGCAGCATCCCGACATCGATTTTTCTTTCCCTTCTTCTGACTTTGTATGAGAGTTCAACCGCCAGAACAATGAAAGTAATTAAGGAAACTTGGTTATTTGTTGCCATGTGGATTTTAGGTAAATCTTTGAGCGAGATATCTGCTAAGCATAATTGTATAATGACATTAGAGTATATATTACACGTATACATATTGTCGATAAAGGCGACGGCAGACACGATCGTGTTATCTCTTCATTATCCATTGTTCATATATTTTATTGTCATTATTACATCATTGTAATCGCCGCACTGGCAAAATGTTTCTTGATTACATGTATTACATTAAATTCGAAGAAGGATATTCTATTTGAATCGAAGGACTTCAGACTCGGGACATTTTCCGAATTGAATGTGTGTCGTTAATAGGATAAGACAAGATACGTAGGGGGCGTAGGATAATAATCTGATTTTCAGCTTTTTTAAATAATTTCAATGCCGTTCAGCGAATTACTTTCCGAGCGGTAATATAAGATTCTCTAAATAGATCCATAGAGTTATAAAAGAAATTTTTAAGAAAATTGTGTAGGATTTTCGTACGTAGTGTAACGCGATGTAAGGCAGGACAGATGGCTTAAAATAGCGATAATCTCTTAGTTACATTCCGTTAAAATTTAAATATCTATGATGTACACATTAAAAAGTATTGAAATGACATAGTTGTAGTAGAAATACAGACAACTCGGAGAATGTTCTTTGTCCCGCAGCGCGATACGTCGTAACAAAGATACATTCGTTCATGATTAACATAATTTATGATCGCTATAATCAATTAATATCAATTAAATATACCATCGATATTATCACTTGCTGCTATCACCGTCGCCAGTTAAGTCCTCACTTGAGACAGACGACAAGTAATAACGGAGGACAGTGAAACGTGGGGGAAAAAAAAAGGAAGTCCGCATGCGAATTTTATCTACGCTATAATCGCTGTGAGATAAAAAAATGAAATCCCTTTCGGAACTGGAGGTGTTATCGATGTTGTGCAATATTAAGAGTTTAACATCACGGTGTTTAGCCGGTGGGGGCCATCGCTGGATCAGTGTTTCTCAAAACGATGCAAAGATTTATGTGGGAGTCGGAACGACGGGGTGGTAAAATGGAGCGAAAGTGAAGAGCGATTATTCCGAATTGGAATAATAATTACTTTCAATTAAATGCGTAAATGCGAAAGATGTAATCCAGCGGAAATTTATGTTAATTTATCTCTTGTGTAAAGAGACACGAAGCGTGATGAAACTTCCGATCACTTTCGTTCCAACGATCCATGTGAAATAAAAAGATCGCGTAAAATAAAAACGTCGAAAATAATGCTTTTGATTCTCGGTTACTCGTATAATGTAGTTTGAACTAGAATTACCTCCTAGGAATTGTTTAAAATTTGGAATTGTAACTAAACTAGATGTAAACAAATATGGTTTAAAGTTATTATACAGTATTCTTTGATGAGCACTAATTAATTCTTTGATGAGCACTAATTAATCCAGCAAAAGTATTACTGATATGATAATATAAAATATAGTTATTGATAATAGAAATCAAATTTTTATCCTATAAGTAAATAATATTGATGTTAAATTTGATTGATGTTAAATTCTTTGCATTATAATGTAAGAAGCTTAATTTGAAAAATTTATATATATCTAAAATAGAAGATAAAAACAATTGTTTATTAAATTTTTGATATGAGTAACCGAAAATTGGAAAAGAATGATTTTGACCCCTCAACTTGATTATAGTGGGATCATATTTTTTGTCTGTATAATAAGTGATACCGGTGAAGCTTTGTCAATTAGAACGATAGCAATAAAACGCTGATTATCCCGTGTGGAAGGTTAGGGGATGGTGATAATTTAGAGTCTGAAGCTAATAATTTTTAGGTCCTCAGAAAGAATGTCCACAAAGGAAAGTATTGAAGAAAACACTTAAATTTCTTATTCTTGAATATCTCAAAATTACTGTCACTATCAAAATACATAGAGATTAGAAGTAACATATTAACAGTTTTCGAAAATCTAACAATTTTCATGAATTAATATCTAGATATGATACTAAATTTTAATAAATAATAAATTTTTAAATAATTAGAAATATGTAGTAAAAATTGAAGCACATTTTTTAAAATAATATCTTTATTAGACAAATATTTAAAGTGAAATTTGAGAGTGGCGGTATTTTCGTGATACTAAATATAGCCTGAAAAATCGAGATGAACGTTATCGAATGAAATTATTATGGGGACTGATTAGTTACAGGAACCGATCTTAAGTATTGTCAATGTAAATCCGCTCCTGATTGAGAATTCTCGCTGATCGACAGAGGAGGGAAATAAATTTGAGAAACACTGCGCTGGGGAAGAAGATAGAGAGATATATATATATATATATATATATATATATATATATATATATGCTATTACTACTTGTGCGGGAAGAAATTTATAATTGCTGCGTGATATATTATGTTAATTTATATATATCGCGACGGTCCGCACTTTGCGTTCGATTGTTCGTGGACCGAAATTCGCGCAATTTGGCATACGGTGGATGAGGAAAACGAAAAGGAAACGCGAGAAAGGCGGCGAGATTGGCGCGATCGCGAGAGAGAATGAACTTAACGGTAAATACTAAAATCGGTATCTTATTCTATAAATGTTGGCTATTGTTAAATGTTGAATATTGTTCAGCGACGAGTTCGCGCGTCTTAGCACGAGGAACACGCGTTTTTATCAATTAACGTTAAATTATCACAAATATCGTTTGCCTTAATATCTACCATCTGCATCTCTCGTGATTTAAGATAATTTTTAAGAGGGCTCATACGGATTACTGTTTGTTTGTATGTAGTCGTGTTTGATTGTTTAATCTCTTTACATGTTTGATATTTTTATAGATATTTCGTAATACATAATATGAAAGAAGTATTGTTTAAATATTGACATAATAATTTTATTAAAATTCATACATCTTGGAAATAATGGACGATATCTTGTTTAACTTTGTCTGTTACGCGATTTTTATTCTTATCTCGTTTGTTGTATTTGAACACATACTTAAAGAAAACATGAAAACAAGTGGAAAATTTCTAAATGTAGAAATATCAACGCGTGCTTCTCAGGCGATCGGGACGAGCTCTCCGCGTTCTAATTGTAATCTAATCTATTTGGGGATCGAGCGGACGCGCCGGATCTATCGATCCCCGCAAAAAAGTCACTGAGCATCCTTGGTCACGGAGAAAGGAGCTTCTGGTGTTCGCCCTCCTTCCTATCCTGGTTTCCCGTCAGAATTCTTCCCTCTCCCGCCGTCTCTTCTCTTCTTCCCTCCTCGCATTATCCGAACGTAACCGACCTCCTGTATGCATGCGTGTGGGATCGAAGCGAATTTCATGTTTCTCGACGTGTGCCGGGCCCACTTATATTTTGTAAGCGCCAGAAAATCCGGGATTCGCACGAGAGAGAGAGAGAGA